TGGACAGGGTCTCATAAAACAGGCTGGGCTTAAACTCCTGATCCTCCTAAAATCCCAGACCAGCAACCTGTCCTCCCCATATAGTGCCCCTCTTCATCCCTGTCTGTCCCTGGCTACCAGCAACATTCTCAGGTCCTAGCCTTGTGCCCTCCCCAATCCCACCCACACCTCGAGAGCAACTGTGGCTTCAGCCCACCATTTGACTTGTGCCCCCCACCCCCCATGGTCTCCTCCTGGCTCTGGCCTCAGTAAACCTGTTTCTGGTGGTGAAGTGGGAGGCTCTGAGTCACACTGCTCCCAAATTCAGATATGTTCCCCGACACACACACTGCTGAGATTCACAGACCAGTGCCAGAGGCCATCCAGCCAGTAGAGCAGCTCTCCCTGATCACCAGACAAAGCAGGAAGGGCAGAGGAAATAGGTCTTCTCATGCTGGGCATGTGCTCTACCACTGAGCTACACCCCCAGCCCAGTAACTTTTTTAAATTAATGGCAAAGGATTTTGTATTTTAAACTGTAGAAACATTAGAAATCCCTGAGAAATGATGTCACACAGGGAAGAAGGAATCATAGTGCACCTTAATCAGTTCTACCTGTAGTTCCACAGAACTGTCTGTTAACAAAATGTCTTCTGAAGGTGGCTCCTGGGGAAATGACACTTTTCAGCTTTCTGCTTTTCCTGTATTCCTAAGCAGCTTCTAAGGCTACAATTGTATGTTTGTACTTTTTTCCCTCAGACATTTTAGAACTCGGCTTGATTCAAGTCATTCTGTATATGAGTTCACATAGTTCTGCCTCCAGGATGGGGTTAAATGCCTTGTCTGGAGTTCACCCTCGCCAAGCATGAGCTCACTGTCTGGGGAAACGAAGCTACTGTGCAGAAAACGGCCCGCCCTGGCGGCCAGTGCCTTGCTGAGAAAATGCAGGCCCTGTCTGATTTGGTAGCGTCTGTGGCCGCTGGAAAGCTACCACCACCTGGGCCTTGACAACATTTTCAGGCTTAAGACAATGTTCCAAGACCAGAATTTTCCAGTTTGTAAAGCCCAGTTCCCTTGATGGCTAGTTAAATGGCTGAGAACAGTGTTAAGTTCTCAGGTACCACTTGCCCTGACTCGTGACAATAGGAAGCCTGAGCTGTCAGGAGTCCCACTGCAGCAGTGACCACTTGGAACTAGGAAGTAACTCCAAGTGGAATGGGGGGTCAGGGGAGTGTACATCTGCCTTCTCCCTAAGAACTAAGCCAACTGTTCTGTGGGAATGAATGGATACAGGCCACAGAGGCAGATATTTTGGAGGAAGCCTCATTCTTTCTGGACAGAAGAGTTCTTTGATATCATTTTGAAGAATCCTAGCTGACCTTTACATACACAAGAATCTCTAAACCTAAATGTGTCTGTATGCAGCCTAAGCTGGTCTCCCAATAATACTGTCCAAGTGGATCCAAAACAATTCTTAGGGCTAGGTGTGGTGGTACATGCCTTTAATCCCAGCACTCCAGAGGCAGAGGCAGGAGATCTCTGTGAGTTCAAGGCCAACCTGGTCTACATAGTGAGTTCCAGGCCAGCTGGGGCTACAGAAAGACCCTGTCTCAAAAAAAAAAAAAAAAATTATTTAAAAACTCTTAGGTGGTTCAGTGGCCGAAAAGAGACACTTCAGGGAGCAATCCTTTGCTAGGGAGGTTGTTCACAGGTACAGCACTTGCCTAACATGTGCATTGCTAGGGTGATCCCAGCAATGGAAAGCAACCCCTAGAGCCTCAGAACAGTGGAAAGGGACATCAAGAGAAAGAGCTGAAGTGGGCTCCTGTGTGTGTGGGAGCAAGAGCTTGATGGAAAGAGGCACAACTCTAGAGGATAGGCACGGTCTGTTTTGGTTTGTTCACTGGTTTGGTTGGTTTTTGTTTTTTGAGTTGAGACCCAGGCTGGCCTCGGACTCCTGGTGTTCCCACCCAGCTTCTGGATGCTGGTATTTCAGGTGTGCACTATCACGCCTGGCTAACATTGTGGGGTTTTTAAATATTTTTTATGTATATGAGTGTATTGCCTGATGTAGGTAGGTGCACCCATGTTATGTAATGCCTGAGGAGGTCAGAGGGCATCAGATCCCCTGGAACCGGAGTCATGAATAGTTGTTAGCCACTATCTGGGTGCTGAGAATCGAACCCAGCCAGGTCCTCTGCAAGAGCAGCTGCTCTTAACCACTGAGCCATCTCTCCAGCCCACATTCTGTGTTTTGACTATGATGTTGAATGCAAATATTTGTGGACGCTTATCAAGTTCTACACTTTGGATGTGTGCACATTCTTGGTGTTCATTTATACCTGTTTAGATTTTTTTTAAAGTCATTATTATTTGAGATAGCAGAATAAACTTGACTCTGGTCCTTGAAGTAACTATATTCTGGTACCAAATCTGCCACCAACTTCCAGGTACATGTGGGGAAGGTACTTAATCTTTGACTTCTCATCTCCCATGCTCTAAAAATGAAGGCGTAACAATTAGGACGCTCAGTTGTTTTCACCTGTAAGGTAGGATTGCTCATTTTCTTAAAAAAATGTGTGTATGTGTGTGGTGCTGGGAATAGAACGCAGCAACTTTCACATTCTAAGCAAGGTCTGCACCTCTGAACTGTTCCTCCAACCCCATAAAACCCTCTTCTAAACTTTTATTTTTTATTTGTATTAGTGTTTTGCCTGCATGTATGTAAGTGCACCCATGTCATACAGTGCCAGCAGAGGCCAAAAGGAGGCATTGGATCCCCTGGAACTGGAGTTAAGGATGGTTGTGAGCCAGCCATGTAGGTT